CTATTTGGTATATATACTCCTTCCTTTTTGTCTAATAAGACATCATTGTCTATTTATTGTTGCATTCTTATGTGGGTCTAGTTCTCCATTGTGTATTACTAATCTTCCTCTTATCTTCTCCTCAAGTTTATATCACCTTTTCTTTGTCTCTCTTATCTATTTTCATTACTATCCACATTCTATGCTATAGTACTATTATTAAGATTATCATTATTATTATTATTGTTCTGTTGATTACTGATTAGGGACATTTACTAAATTATTTTAATAAAAAATAAAAAAAAAACTTTCCACTCCTGTTTATCTTTTGTGACCTATAATTTAGTATTTACTAAGTAATCTTTCCTTCAATCCTAAAATTAAAATTGAAATCTCCAGTCCTATTCAAATATCTTCAATTGATTATAAAAAACTTGATTTTCAAAATAAGTTTCAAATTAAATAAATTATGTTTATCTACTATATTAAAAATTTTACTCATTTTCCAAATGACTACAAACAAATAAAGATTTTGTAGTTTATAAAGAAAAAATTTGTATATTTTATAGATTTAGTTCATAAATTAAAAGTTTGAAAAAGCAATTCAACATTTAATTATTAATCATTATTTTAAAATTAAAAAATTAGAGTTTATAAATAATAATATCCAACAATAAGATCACCCTAAATTATTTGTATTATTTTAGATATTCTTTGTCATATTCATGATTTTTAATGAAAATGGGTTCTTGACTTAGAATTAGAATTTTTTTTCGATTATTTCTTTTAAAATCTAGAAAGATATTTAATATCATGTATTCAGTGTTGAATTATTTATTAAAAATTGTTTATTATATTATTAAATGAATTTTCATTGTAAAAAAATGTTTAAAAACAGACTCTAATTTTTAATTTTCTATTTATATTCCAAGTTTTATGATCAAATTATTCCTTTGACTTTCATGAGAATAATATCATTTATTCAATTTGAGGGAACCCTAGTCATTTGATTTATTCTTCTCCTTCCTTTATGGAAGCCTCTTTTTTATTGGGTCTTGTAATATTCCATAATTTAATCGGCAACTACTTTTTTATGTTACCCATAGAAAATTCATTTTGCTAACATTATATTTGCTGATTAAATGGATCTCTTTAAGATTAATGTATGGACTATATCAAATTATATTATTTTGTTATAATAATTTAGCAGCATGTTAAAACTCTTAAATTCCTTTATTTGATAAATTGACATCCAACCATCCAAAAAATGAATTAGTCTTATTTAAGATGCTCTCTCCATGAAGTATTAAAACTAATTTAATTCATTAATTCAGAATATTTGTTGATAAAAAATATTATTTAAAAGAAAAGAGTAGAGTAATCAAATAATAATTATGATTATGTGAATATGATTTCACTCATATTAGAGATTATTAATTATTTTCCTGTTTATAAATTTA